CTTCTAAAATACATTTGTGGCAAACACATGTGTTCATTTCTCGAATAATATGAAAATAACACATTTCTCTTGATAAGACCTCTCAGACTGCCAATTGAATTAAACCTTTGAAGGTGCATTTATAACCTGTCTTGGAGCATTAGGAGATATTAGGGTTCCTGTGATTGAATCGATTTAATGAATATTTAAATTATAGACAGATTTGGATAAATCATATTTAAATCTGGGTGTTAGAGTGAGACTCTTTGGCCTCATTCTCCCAATTTCCAGAGGGAGGGAAAGCGAGCGGGAAGGGAGCTTGGGAATTGTCTGGAGGAAGATTTTCCTTCTCCCAAGGCAAGGGGAAGTCTGATAGTACATTTTAGGAAAATAAAAAAGAAGGGACTGTCAGCCCAACTCCTTATAAGGTCTGGGCTTTGAACAGTTAAACTCAAGACTTGGGTGGGTCGCTGCTGTTCTGGTGTCTGGAACGGTGCCGTGAGTTGACTGGGGCAGTTAGCAAGTGCTCATGTTTTAACCATCACTTCCACGGTCCCCTGGGCCCGACGCTGGCTCACTGGCTCTGGGCAGGCCCCAGTTTGGCACATCGGTTTAGAGGGAGTTAAACTTTTCACAGTTTTCTGGATTGTTTGCAGTTCAGTCCTGTGCAGCATAATGAAAGTTTTCTAGCCATCTGTTGTTAAGCTGGCGGGGAGCAAGGCCAGTATATCCAAACAAAGTTCTGGCCTGCTGTAAACGGAACCTGTCGGTGTAGCATAGCTTTCCTGACCCCTCCAACGAACGGGGCAGCCCTTGGTACCAGGCACTCACTGCCTAGAGCTTTCAAAGGGGAACTATTTTCGGGGTTGGGGGTGGTGAGGGCCTGTTTACTTTTTCCCTCCGTGTTCCTCTCACTGGCTTGGACTAGTTTATACTTAATCTTTAAATGGATAAATGGTTACTTGGTCCCCCCCCCCTTTTCTAGAGAAGGAAGTGTGGCTTCTTAAATGGGGATCGTAACTTTGAGAACAAGGTATGAGTGTCTGTGGCTGTGTGTGAGGCAGCTGTGATCTGAAAGGATGTTCTACTCAGTTGTTTTTGTTTCATTATTTTGGCTTTCAGTGTTTGGGGACAAACAGTCCGAGCAATGGAAGCTCCTGTATTTATTACTTAGCTTATGTAACTCAAAAGTGTTTCATAGCTTTAAAAGGATCCCCCCCCCCACTTCCACATTTTGTATTTCATTATCAGAAATTAATACACAGCATAACTTACAGAATGGCTCCTGGCTGTATGGGCTGTGGCCTACTGCTCTGTTCTTATTGACAAAGTCTACCTATTGTTTTTAATTGCTCAGTTTAAGCTTAAAATAATTTCGTTGTTTTGTGGCATTCTGTAATAAATGTTTAATTTTTGCTTGCTGTTTCAGTGTTTCCTTGCTCCTTAGGAAACATTCCTCTGCATTCAGATCCTTGCTATATGTCTGTCTGTATTGCAACACCTGTCTAAACCCACCCCTAACCTTTGTGGGTTTCCTTTTGTTATTGACACCTTGTAGGTGCTGTTGTATTTCTTTCTTGGTCTTGCTGTAGTCTGTTTCCTGTCCAGCATTGGTTACATTTGTGCTCTGTGAAGAGAGGGCTCTGGGGAGTCATTGTCAAACCTCTGTATCCATCTCAATTCATTAAAATATCCAGAGAGAATGGCCACTGTCATTGAATAACTGTGTCAGCCCCTCCCCTGGCTGCCTTAGGCCCTGTAGATAAGAAGCAGACCAGTCCCACACAGATACAAAGAAAAAAGGCACCCAAAGGATGCACATTTATCTAAAGCATCCACACGAGAAAGTTTGGGTTCAACTGTAGCTGCAATGCAGGAATGGACAAGGATCAGAAATTCTATAAGTGGAGGTGGGGGTGGAGGGGGAGCAGGAGAACCAAAGGAATAAATAAGGAGATATAAGGCTTCTCCTTTAAGGGACAAGGAGTTTTGCAGTAGTGAAAAATATTCAATTTAAAATTTAAATGAGTGCACTTACTTGGAAATACCATACAGTCATAATCTGTTTGTAAGGTGACTGACATATAAAGTGCTTTTTTTGTTTTAAGGTAAAAAAAAAAGTATTCAGGGTAGAGTTTCGGGTGTAAATGTCAGGTGCGTAACGCATGCTCCCTCCAAGAGTCAAGCAAATAACCTTGGCATTTAGGACACTGCCTTTTAGAACATGAAATTGTATTTTGTTGTGTGTCTTTTTTTTTTTTTTTAAAGGAGGACTACATTAAGGGGTCACCTATTAGCTGTGTTTTGGCTGTCTTAAACTCAGCCCTTCTGTCTATTAAAATCAAACCACTGTGTAAACATTCCAGTGTTGTTCTTGGTCTCCACAATGGCCACGGGGATCGGGTTTCACCTGCCTGCACATCTTCAAGCAATTAGAGCAATTAGCGTGAAGCCATTTCACATTCAAGGATTCAAGGTCTACGGTGACATTCAAGTCTAGAAGTCTGAAAGAGAGAGAGGAAGCCACGTAGAGCATGGCTACTCTTCCATGGCCCTGAGCAGACAATTTCTCTTTTAAAAATGGTAGCTCTTTAATGATATTATTATGAGGTTTGGAAATGACAGATCAAAAGTTGTTTATATCAAAAAAACCCAACAGTCATTTAATTATACTAATGAAGACCTTTATACATGGCAGATTTTTTTAAAAAGACTTAATGGCCATGAGAAATGTAGTGTTGCTGTACCTTGTATCACCATGGGAGTGACAGCCTTCTTTTCATAGGAAGAATATATTTTATAATATATAAGGAACTTTGCATTCTGCCTTCCATGGCAAACCTCCCTGTTTTGGGTAAATGTAATCATTACAGCCACGTAGAATATTTAGTTGGCAGACTTTGGGGGAGTAAGTATTAAGAGTCACTTTTTATTTATTTTTTTTAAAGCTTGGAGAAGAAGAGTGGCAACTTTCATACACTGAACTAGTGCAGTTGAAAGACAAATAAATGTATCCTTAGTGCACTGATGGCTGTGCTGTGGAGGACTGAAGAAGGTGCCTTTTACAAAACAGTCTTAGAATCCAGGAGAGTTTTTGTTTTGCCTGTTTGTTTTGTTTGTTTTTTCACATTTGTCATTGAGTTACCCAGGAATCTTGTTTGCATGAGACAAACCCAGAACTGATTGCAGCGTTTGAAATCGGTTAGTTGATTTTTAAATCTTCGTTTTTCCCTGTTGGGTTATTATTATGCCAGAACCAGGGGGCGAGGGGGGAGTGCTAGTTTTCAAAATCCAAGGGTGCTGCGGAGAAGATGTGGCTGTGCCCTCCCTGGAGGTGTTCGCCATCAGGAGTCACTGCAGGCTAAATTATAATGTGGAATTCTGTTGCCCTTTAACCTGATGCTGCCTGTTCGCATTCAGTGTTTGTTAACAAACAGTTCTAAGTACAAAATTGTTGGGAGAATTACTTTTTCATTATATGCACTGACTTTAATTAGAATAAGCGGCTTATTTTTAAAAAGAAATAACTGTGTGCCTCTCAGAAAGTTCTTGCGATAATTCCTTTATGAAATTGCCTCAGTGGACTTCAAAGCTAGTAGATGTTGAGCGGCTTTATATCCGTAGTGCTGAACGCTTCGATCTATTTGTGTGACCCAGGCTGGAGCATTTGTGTTCATTCATTAATTCACCTTGTTAGGGAACCATACAGCTCAAGTCTCTAGCCCCATCTCTGACCACTGAGAACTCCTCTGTTGAGGAATGGCTTTCCCACCACCCCCTTGCATGGCACCCAGGCTCTGTGCCTTTTGAAACTGCATTGCAGAGCAGATGCAGGGGTTGCTTATAAAATAGTAGCATGCTGGGCACTGTGTGAGGTGAGGGTCTTTTCCCCTTTTCCCTTGGAAATGGATTTCTGGGAAGTCATCATTTGCAGCGTTTGTAACTTGACGAGCTGAGTTAGACAGGAACACTTGAATTGGATACTCCACCCCTCCTAAAAGTGGAGAGGCAGGCATCGAAGCGCTGTGGGGCTCAGAAGGGAGGTAAGGCAGTAAACCAGATCTTTCCTTTTTTTTTTTTTTTCCCTCGTAGCTCGTCCTCTGTTTCTCTGATCTGCCTTTTGAACTGTTTTTGTGGCTGATCAGTTCCACCTAATATGTCTCTTGATTTCTGCTATTGTAATACTCAGGCGACATGCTGTTCTCTTGGTTTTTATAAGCTTTAGATGCTTCTGCCTGTCATATTCTGGCGGTTTATCTTCAGCGTCTGGATTTGCTTTCAGACTTGAATGTCTATCAAGCTGCCGTTGCTTTGAATGTGAGATCAAAAGAAGATGAATTCCAGTAAAAAAAAATTTCCTTCTATGAAGAAAAGATTGGGGCCTATGTAAACATCCCACTGACAGTTCCCAGTGAGTTATTTTAGCCGAGTATTAGCACCTGGATGACAGACAGTCCAGCATTCCACACTAAATAACAGATCAGTTGCTTCCAAGGCAGAAGAACGTTGCCACACCAGCAGTGCATTTTCAGGAGGAATCCTTTTTCCTCCTCCCCCTCCCCCTCCCCCCTTTTCTTTTTTCTCTCCCCCCACCTTTATTGAATATGGCTGTTCAACTCTTCATCCTATTTTTCAAGCTGACTTGCTCTGCCTTCAGCAGTTTACTTTTCTTTACGGTATCTGTCAAGTTACTCGGGTGACGGAAGACAGGACTTTGATGATTAGTTTGGGGCGGGTTAAGGAGTGTTCAGGGAGGCAAGCTAGGCATCTCGACATAAACAGGTAGTTTGGTTGATTGCAGAGAAGGAAAATGCCAAGGAAAGGCAGCAAAAGCAAGATCAAGGGCATATCCCTGGAACGCGGGCGATGTGTTCTTTAAAAATACATGTGACAAATTCCTCTCAAGTCGGCAGAATCTGAATTTTCTTCCTTTCTCCTTTCTTCCTTTTTTTTTTTTTTTTAAGCGTCCTGCCTGTGTTAATGTCACCACCAAAATATGTGAAGAGTGTGTTTTCCCAAAGCCCATCGGTGCGGATTTGTCTGCGTGAAGGAGCTGTGTTTGGCTAGGGCTCTGTCTAGCCAGGGCACACTTCTGATCCTGTGTCCCTGCCTGCAGACCTGGAGTGATTTAGATACAGTGTAGCCTGAATAGGTTTCTTTAAGTGCTAAATGCAACTTTGAAAATTACCTGCCAGCTCCAACTGATCTTTCAACTTTGAAAGTGAAGAATTACTTGAGGAATTCTTGTGGTTTCTTTGTCATTTAGTGAGAGCCCAGCCAGCTACTGTGAAGGCAAGCGTCCCCGAGGTTGCCTACAAAGGGCAATGTTCCAGTGTGTTTTCTCCTCGAGTATGCTTCAGCCGCACAGGACTTCCTGTTTATTCAAACATCTTTTTTACCACTCGGCAACCCCCGCTTCACAGAAACAGCCAGAACCCATCTACAGCAAGAAGACGGAAATCCAAAGGCAGACAGTGCGAGCTCTCTCGGTCAAACTCTTCATTTTCTCTGTAAGTGTCGAGGAAAAAAAAAGGAAGATTTTTGCTGGGTTAAACTTTTAAAACTAAGGATCCGCTCCTGCAGGGACCTTCTCTGCAGGGCAAAATAAGATGATCCAACTTGTTTACTTCTCTTTCTGTGCCTCCCACCCCCCCAACCCCGCCCCATCAAAGACGGTTTTCTTTTTAGATCTTGGAGAGGACCCGTTCGTCATTCTTAACTCCTTGTTAATTCACTCTTGCTTTCACATGTGTCTTCAGATATTATCGGCTCAGTCAGCCACAGTCAGCCAGCCGTGTGTCGTCAGGGGCTTGAATGGAGATGAGAACCTTGCTCTGCTTATTTGTGACATTGTTTTGTGTCGCCTTCTTTTCCTTCCTGTTATCACCAGGAGTGAGAGAGTGCAGGGAGGGTGCCTTGGTAATTCTGCGTCTGCAGGATCGTCCTCGATGAAGGCACCGCGACACCGTCATTGCGTGCGAATCGGTCTTGATAATATTTGTACCAATTTCATGCCAATAAAAGTCAGACCGCTGAAACAAGCACGGTCATTATCTCATTCATATGACTATTGTTGAAACGGAGTGGGCTGCAGGAAGAAAGAGAAAACCCGCCTCACTTTCCGAGATGGTTGTTAACTTTGATGTTGGAAGGTTCTTTTCACAATTCTCCTTGTGGATAATTAGTATGGCAGGGAAAGCCCTCGGACCGGGGCTGCTGCTTCTCTCTGCCGACCAGCGACGCGGTTGCTCTCTGGGTCCTTTCTGTTGAAATGACTTTCCCAACACATGGTTTGACATTTTTTTTTTAAAGGGTTCCACCTTTTCCTGTCTGATGTAGACCTCCCTCTGGCCCCCCTGTCCTCCTTTCACACCCCTCCCCCAACACACACACACTTCAGTGTAATTGGTAAGCCAGGTGCTAATTTTTTTTTTAACTGTGTACTAGTCAGGGAATACACAGGAAGTGGAAAATTAGCTCTTTTGATCTGAGGGGAATTGTTATTACTCTCCACCTCATTTGTTAGTCCCCAGACTAAATATACTTAAATTTCAGTGTCTAAAAGAGCATCTATTGGAATAAAGAAATAGCCTCTGCCCCCACCTCTAATGGAAAAAACATTTAAATAAATAAAATAAGTAACTGTACGCGTGTGTATACGTGTATCGCTCACGCTAGGCTGGCTTTTCTTCGTGTTCAGAAGTTGTTCTACTTCGCAAGAAAAAAAAATTATGTTTGCGACTGCCTTAAGGACAATTTGTATAACAGTAGGAGTAATTGCAGGGAAAATGGAAAGACTGACTGGAGGTATTTACTCAGATGTTAGTGTAGGTGTGGGGGCCGAAAACTCAGTGTGGGAACAGTGGGCTGCTTTTCTTGGTATCACCGTCTATTTGATGACCATCAAATTTCCCAGCTCGCTGGTTTTGTTTTTTCTGGATGGCATGTTTGATTATTTATCAGAAGGGGAAGGGAGTAGCTGAAGCAAATAAACATGTGACCAAGTTCTGTTTTGTTTTCCACTCAGAAAGCCATGCCCTTTAACAGACATACAGAAAAGAATAAATGCATTGTTTTATGATAAAAGGAAATTATATGTGTCATTTTCTTTTTAAAGGCAAGAGAGTTAACCCTTAAGACTCAGGGGCCTTTTTGCCTTCTGAGAATTTGCCAGGCTTTTACTGAGAATTAATCTATTGCGGTGGATGGTTTTATGGTGCAGGATTTCCCAGGATTAGTTGGTCAGTAGTTTGGCTTTTCTGGATGCTTTCCTTAGTTATGCCTGCCTCAGTAGCTCTACTTTTATGGTGGAGGGGTGTGTGTGTGTGTGTGTGTGTGTGTGTTTTAAACAGTGATGCCATTGGATAAATCAGAAGCTCTTACAGTTTTGTTGAAGGCTGTATTCTGGCTTTACATCTAAACATAAACAGCTCAGTTAAAGGGAAATATACCAGACTTTCTGTGAGAGGGTGCAGCATAATTTATTAGAGGCCAACTTTTACTCCTTTCTTAAAACATGAGAGGCAGCTGGTATACCGTGAAGAGTTGGCTTATATATCTCCAAAACACCCTCAAAAACGTCTTCCCATCTTTAATACTATGTCCTGTATGTAGTGATCTGCAGGGTTATTGGTTATCTCAGAGCAAGTCCTCCAGAGCCCTAAAGAAAGACTCACGTCTACATTAAATGTAGATTTTTAAACAGGCAAACTAAAATTTAATTTGTTTTGTTTTGTTTTAATTCTCTAGCAGGGTTTGCACGACTGCATGGAGACATTCTTTACTCATGGGCACGCACTGACCTTTGTGTACAGGCGCGCACGGGCACATTTTTAAATGACTCGAGCATGATTTTGCACAGGGGCTTCCTCACGTATACACACCCTGGACGAGTGATGGCCATGCTTCTAGCACAGTGCCTGGCCCAGTCACATCCGGCCTTATAAATCAGCCTCAGATCTGTTTCGTGGCCTATACTGTTTTGGAATGTGAATTGGAAATATGCACACAGAGGAATTCCCTCTCCATTGACTATATAAGGGAACGATGCAGCCAGCGCTCAAACACAGCGCAGTTTCCATCAGTATCGCCCCACACGTGTGTCACTGGGAGGGGATTCTGTCCTGGAGAGGATGACCGCAGAGGCAGTAGCCTTTACACCTCCTCTTTTTGGTCATCTTGGGTGACTCTCTGAAAGGCACTTGGGTTGGGTAGTCATACTTTGTACTTATACAGAGGCCTTTGTCTCTGCAAATCAAAGCGCCTGACTAATGCTGCCTCGTTAATACTCAGAACACTCCTGGGATATAGGTAGGCTGCAGAGATGATCCCACTTGTGAGGTGGGAGAATGTCCTGTTGTTAAAATTGTTTACAGTTTCCGGGTGTGTCTGTATGTCATGGTCAGGCCAGACCTGGAAAGAGTATGATCTAGATGCCAGGAGAAGCGTTTTTTCCCGTGACATACTCAGCCCTGACCACAGGCAGTCTCAAGAGAAAGTGTTTTCCCATGCAGAAACTGGGCTGGAAAACACTTCTAGTGTGTGGTGTTGATGGAGGTGGAAGTAGGGGGCCGATGAAAAGTAATCATGCTTAATTTTAATCTCTTTAGTATCAAAGGTCAGAGTTATATATTTTTTAAAATATGGCACAGGCTAAAAATTTGATTTTTGTTTTGTTTCACTTTAACTCAATGTGATGTTGGCAATTTAACTTCCACAAAAATCAAGTTAGTTTGTGCTTTGCAAGGAAACAGACACTGCTCATAGGCTATGCAGAGTGAGAAGTTGCTCTGCGGTTGTGTGCTTTAGGCAGAAGAATTGAAACATTCTGTTAAGCCTCAGTCTTACTATGTGATTTTTTAATTCTGATGGGTCTTGATCTCCTTCCTAGGGTCACTATGCAGAGTCACAATTAGTCACATGCCATTTGCAGTTTGAAGTCTTACACTGAAAGCTTTCCTGGAAGTCTCTAGACTAGGGTGGTGGTAGAATTTAGGTTGTTTGGTTCCCAGCACTGTTTGTTTGTTGGAACCTGAACACAGAAATTAGATTTGAATAATCTCCATCAAAATGTGTTTGTAATTTTAAAAAGTAATTTTCAAAAGTCTTATAAATATGATTCCAATTTTGCTTGAGAAAAGTAATTTACATAAGCATGCTCCCAAATGTTGACAGTGTCATGTGTAGATGATGATTTATACTTGACTTCTTATTTTCCTAATTCATTTATGTACCTTTCATGTTTTCTAAGTATGATTTACAATGTTCTATTAGTTTCAAGTACACAGCAAAGTAATTCAGTTATATATACAGATACATTCTTTTCCAGATTCTTTTCACTATAGGTTATTACAGTGTACTGAATATAGTGTCCTGTGCTATACTATAGTCCTAGTAACAATTTATTTTAGATATGATAGAATGTATCTGTTCATTCCAAACATTTAATTTATTCCTCTCCCCTTCCTTTAGTAACTATAAGTTTGTTTTCTGTGTCTGGGAGTCTGTTTCTCTTTTGTAAGTGAGTTACTTTGTATCATTTTGGGTTTTTTGTTTGTTTGTTTGTTTTTGTTTTTTTTGGTTCCACATACAAGTAATATCATGCTATTTCTTTCTCCGTCTAACTTACTTAAGAAGCACTTATTGGCTATCAGGCCCTAGACTATGCATATTATATGTATTAATTCCTCCCATTCTTACAGATGAAGAAACAGAGTCACAGAGAGGTTCAGTAACTTGCCCAAGGTCACACAGCTTTGCAAATGGTGGAGCTGGGGTTCAAATCCAGGCAGGCTGGCTGATGGGAACTTCACCGCTATGTATGCTGTTTCTGTAGAAATACATTCGTGTTTTATAAAGCAAACTTCTGTTTCTTTGGAAATGCTGTGATTCTCCCAAGGTCAGAAATTCCCCCAAATTCCCAGAAAATCCCTATTTCTTCACGCCCGGAGACTCAGGTTCCACCTTGTGCTAAACTGCGGTGATTGGAAGTGCCAAAGAGCATTGTCACTCGATGAGCACAGCTCTGTGAACCCTGTTGTGTGTCTGATGAGCACTTTTCTTTTTAAGAAAATGTTTCTAATTCCTTGATCAGAGTGATCAAATCTTCAAAAAAAATTCCCTGCAAAGTACCCTTGAATGTGGCTCAGGTTAACTGAATATATTCTTCTAGACATTTCTAAATTTTTCTTTAGAGACCTATCATGTCAAGCAAGAAGTTCTGTTTCCACGTGAATGGAAAAATTCCAAATCCACGGATCTGTGGATTAATGGCCATTTTTGGTTGTGTCTTTCCTCAAGTACAGGTGAAGGGATTCTCTGCCAGACCATGTGACCTTTGGCATATTCTGTGAATTTTCTGTTTAGAACAGAGACAGATCTGCAGGTAGCATTCAGTGCATGCTGGCCATCACTTCTTCTTCACGACATGGCAGCAGTGTCATTGATACCTTCCTCTCCCCCTAGGCCTGCTCTCTGGCCTCTCACTGGCCATTCTTGCTGCGTTGCTCTA